ACATCTTTATAAGCATACGCGTGAAACGCGTTAATTTGAACGTGAATTGCACTAATGAGAAACCATTTTGGAAACGAACAATAATGCACAATATATATTAATTATATTGCTAATTAACAACTCATCAGAATCTCCATTGTCCTCTTTTTCAGCTGTTACTCGTTCACGTTCCATTTACATACAAAACCAACACAAGAGGAAGAAGAAGAAGAAGAAGAAAACAGTGTTGGGAATTATGTCTGAAGGAGGAACAACCTTGGAATACACTCCGACATGGGTGGTGGCTGTCGTCTGCTTCGTCATTGTCTTCATTTCCCTTGCTGTTGAAAGACTCCTCCATTTCCTCGGCAAGGTATGTTTCCATTTCTGCATTTGTCTGTGTGTGTGCTTGATGAATTGTCTCAATGACCATTTGGTTTTCAGTACTTGAAGAAGAGAAATCAGAAGCCTCTCTTTGAGGCCTTGCAGAAGATCAAAGAAGGTATGTGAAGTTGTAACACTCTAAAAAAATGGAGTCGGATTTTGGGTTTCGTGTCGATATATCATATATGCATACATGATAAATGTTTTTGTGTGCTTGTGGATTGCAGAGTTGATGTTGCTGGGATTCATATCACTGTTGCTGACAGTATTCCAAGATAGGATTAACAAAATCTGTATGTCAAGTGATTTGGCTGATCGATGGCTGCCTTGTCGGGAGAAGAAAGAAGTAACCAAAGAACACTTCCAGACCCTTTTTTCCTCCTTTTTTCCCGGAGGTATCGGACGTCGTCTTCTCGCCGAAGCTTCCGATCCCGCTGTTGCCTACTGTGCTGCTAAGGTACCCCTTTTTTACTGCTAGCAATTCTGGAACTTGAATGGAACCGTGTGCTTTATTAACAGCAAATGTGTCCAATTTCAATATAGGGGAAAGTTCCATTGTTATCGACCACGGCATTGCACCATCTACATATACTCATCTTTGTGCTGGCGGTCGTACATGTGACTTTCTGTGCTCTAACCATTGTTTTCGGAAGCACAAAGGTATGTTTCCCCCATTAAGTTACTCTGATTCTGATGCCATGTATAATGCTACTGCTTTCTGTTTCCTACTGACATGTACTTTTATGTATGATTCAAGATCCATCAATGGAAACGTTGGGAGGAAATTGCTAAGGATATGGAATACGATCCGACCGGAGGTACTGAATATTCTATTGCTAACACCTAAACTTTTATATATCTGAATCAATGGCCATTCGGATATACTTGTATGATATGCTTATCTTTTATCAACAATGCAGCACTGAGATTCTTCAAAACTTTTAACTTCTATAGCTTTTTTGTGATGAAAATGTCACTTTGCAGTTGTGAAAACAAAGATCACCCAGGTCCAAGAACATGATTTTATACGGAATCGGTTCCTCGGCATCGGAAAGAATTCAGAGCTACAAGGATGGGTGGTAAGTCAAGATCTTCTTGTCGTGATCATCTAACTCTTTGGTATAATAACACAGTAACAATTTTTATGACTTTGATTTTCTTTCAGTATTCTTTTTTCAAGCAGTTCTATGGATCTGTGACGAAATCAGATTATATAACACTAAGACTAGGTTTCATCATGGTAAGTTAATCGAATTAACCTTATTCTGTTCCTTTTTTTATTCATTTTTAATGCATCAATTCTCTTCCCTCAACTCCTACAATATTTCTTCGATTAGACTCATTGCAGGGGAAATCCAAAGTTTAATTTTCACAACTACATGATGCGTGCTCTTGAAGCCGATTTCAAGAAAGTCGTCGGGATAAGGTCAGTTTATGATAAAAAGACGCTAACTGCAGTTTTCTTGGCTCCTACACTTCAATCAAATAGTTCAATATATGCTTAGCCTCGTAAGCATTTATGTCATTGCTCACCTATGGTGAAGATTGATGCTTTCTCTATGTTTCTATTCATCAACATATATCAGATGCTAAACTTTCATTTCATCAATCACTTACCTGCAGTTGGTATCTTTGGGCATTTGTTGTCATCTTCCTGTTGCTGAATTTCGTCGGTAAGTTACCGAACTTATTCAAATTTTCGCCGCAAGTCTTGTTCTTAGATATATGCACTTGTCACTTGATGAGGCAAGAACTATGGTGCTAGTTACTGGTTTCATGTTTGAATCAGCCAGTGAAGACTGTTAATTTTGACTAGAAAGCGAATTTCGGTTCCTTTCGCAGGTTGGCATACGTATTTTTGGATAGCATTCATTCCCTTCATTGTGAGTGATTCAAATAAACACTTATTGTACCATGTTGAATCAGCTATGCAGGTGTATTAGAGTATTTGACAATGGTTTTCCCCTTTGGCAGCTTTTGCTTGCTGTTGGCACCAAGTTGGAGCATATAATCACACAACTAGCTCAAGAGGTAGCCGAGAAACACATAGTGGTGGAAGGGGAGCTGGTGGTTCAACCCTCGGATAACCATTTCTGGTTCAACCGGCCACGACTCGTTCTCCGCCTCATTCACATCATCCTCTTCCAAAATTCTTTCGAAATGGCCTTTTTTGCCTGGATATGGGTAAAATACACAATGTCCTTGCAACATTACCAACATGTCATTCACTCGTTCTCCATATATTCAGTAAATAACAACCTTTTCTTCTTCCATTCAGGTCCAATATGGTTTCCACTCATGCATGATGGGTCAAGTTCGTTTCATTATCCCCAGACTAATCATAGGGTATGAACATAACAAAAGAAACTCGGTTTCAACTCGATTCTTCTCCTTGTTTCAGATAATACATTCAACGTTCAAGCACTATTAACATGATCTTATTCGGTCGTTATTAGGGTATTCGTTCAGTTCGTGAGCGGTTATAGTACCCTGCCCCTATATGCATTTGTCACGCAGGTAAGCATTCTTTATGAACTACAATAACCAGAACAGGAGAAGCTGTTTTCTTCTGTGAACTGATGCAAATCTTGGGATTAATTCACAGATGGGAAGTTCGTATAAGAAGGCAATATTCGAGGAACATATTCGCGAAGGGCTGGTCGGTTGGGCGAAGAAGGCGAAGAAAAAGAATAAGGGCATCGGTTTCAAAAGGTCATCCAATGAGTCTAAACAAGTTGGTCCCAAGGAGGAGTCTCCATTGGTATTCGAGATGCAGAAGGTTAATGCAAAGGAGTCATCATCTTCATCTCCAGTATGAGGATGAAACTTGTAGAGATTGGATCAAAGTTAACTGGAATATACAGAAATTGACATTTTGCAGCCTTATAGATTTGTGTGGGGGTTTATATATGAAGTTATCATAGCTCTCATATAATTTGAAACAGCTAGTTCAGTAACCAGCTGCATTGATAGAAATTTCTTTTTCTAATATATGTTTTACGTTTTATGTTCGGAGTTTGTGATTATCTTGTTTAACAATGTCGTATCTAAGAGTAAAACATGTCACACCCCAATCACGATCCGATCCATTCAAAGAACAGATTCAGAGCAGCACATTAGATCACAAGACAACCACCAATCGACCAGAAACAACTTACAAAGCTATGTTCTTTTTTAAAATTATGAAAGATAGATGTTGAAAGTACCATGAACTGAAACACTTGGTTTTTGATGTGTTCTAAGAAAATCTAACTAGGAAGTGACTAAAGAGGAGGTGAATGCTGCTTTGTTTTCCATGACCGGCAATAAGTCACTAGGAGCAACTTATAAAATTTTAGGGGAGAGATTGTGTTCACCAAAGAATGAATGAAGACTTGGCATAAGACATATTATCATGGAACAAAGCTTGTGTTCTGTCTGGACTAAATCAGAGTTGGTTATGGAAGAAGATGCTGAAGCTTAGAGCCCTTCTGCCTATTGAGGGTGGTTCTCACACTGATTTTCAAGCCCAACAAAATAAGGGAGAAGTTGAGGAAAAAGGACATAGTTTGGAGAAGCTTGACAATAGCTTGGTAATTCATACATAGCTTGGCTTGCTGCGGTTGATAGGCTTGTGGCTAGGGATGATTTCACCCGGACCTGACAGGTTTTTGACTCGATCCAGCCCAATCGAGTCATTTTTTTTATTTTGAAAATCAATGCTTGATTGAATCGAGTTTTTAAGGGTAGAGACTGATCAAATCGTGTTTATGGTAAAATAATCCGATCAGATCTAATCCGACATAATATTATAGATATTCTTAAATATATAGATATAATTATAACAATACATCTTTCTATTTTGTTTTTCAATTTGCGTCCTTATTTTACCTAATAAAAATAATTTTTTAATATTTATATTTAGATAAGGTCAAATACAAATTTTGACTTAAAATATCAAATCAGATTTCGAGTCAGATGAGACTCTCTTAAACCCAGATCATTTCGGATACATGCAAAGAGATTTATTAATTTTCAGGTCAAATTTAAATTTTCCCTACTTGTGGATGAGGCTAGGTTGCTGTAATGGGGTGTTCAAGTTGAACCCAAATGTTGATTGTGTAATGAAGAACTTGAGACCAGAGACCATTTGTTTCGGATATGTCCTTATTCCAGGTGTCCTAAAACTGATATTAACATAAGAAAAGAGGTTCACAAAATTGATGATAGTAGCAATAATACAACAAATTTCAAGTGTGAGAAGGTCATTAGTATGGGTGTTTCATTACCCACGGACGAAGCAATCAATGTGAACACAAGAACAAAAAGATGAACAATGAAGCAGACGGAGCCATGCTCGACATACCGAGCTCGAGAAACTTCATATCTGCTTCTCTCATTTCCTTGGAATCCGTCGTACACTGTCGACGATAACCAGCACAGCTGCAACTTGTTACTTTATGAGCAATTGAACCGGCATGGCCAAGGAAAGTGTGCAAAATTCTTTTCTTTTTCATATTCAACGGCAAAGGTCTGATAATACGTGTGTTTTACACAGTCGCCCGTTGTTGAACGTTCCGCTTCTATCCGATCTATGTCGAAACAACTTTGTTACGGCTCTCCTTTCACGATCCTGCAATTGAAGAAACCAGAGATGAATAAGTTGTTCGATTTTAAAATCCAAAACCATTTCTGTCGGAGTTCTTCACCTTGAACATGTTTAGATAAAAGGGTTTATCGGGATTCATCTTTCTCAATTTCCTGTATGTATACGCGAAACTTAGCTGATCGCGGGGAGTAAACCACTCAACCTCGTTGAACCAAAGACACGAGAACAGATTCGACATTGGGGTGTGTGCTCTAACAATGAAAGAACCTTCGGGCACATCTGCATACACAATACCGAACACTTCAAACAACAAAATAAAAGCACAAAATCCTGATGCTCGAGTGTAAAAGTTGTTACTGCTAGGAAGAAGCTTGCTAGGATCCGAAGCGTTGAATTTTTTCAGTCCATCAGCCTGATAGAATTCAAATTGCTCGTCGATGACTGAATGATTATACTTGTTCAGCTTCTTATTTTGTGCGACCTCCTCCCAGACACAATGGCGGTCGTAGTGATTAGAAACGGCATATACTCGTGACATTTTATCCACCAGAAGTAGTCCAGGAGTTGTAAGGGGTCACGCTGTAAACGTAGTTTGCCAGATTGAGTACCTGAGACCGGAAAAGTTCGAAGCAAATGTCAAGCCTGTGTAAATAATACATCCACAAAGCAGATAATCGTAATATACAACTTACTACTGCTAAAAGAAAACTTCATTCTTGAGACCGGAAAACGTGGTTTTTGGTATTTTTTCCCACTCTGCGCATATCATCACAAGGAAGATTCTTTACAACCACTATCTTCCATAAGCCAATAAAACCACGATCCAGTGTTTGACCTTCTGAATAAAGTGTTTGCATCGTAACTTCATCCACAAACATAACGAAACAGACATTTTTCCTTGATGGACGAGTAACCTATCAGGAGAAAACTATGATTGTGCCATCGTTATAATCCATATCACGTTTTGCTCAAGTAATTCATTGATAAACAAAATGGTTGTGCATTATAACCATTAAAGAATGAACAGTGCGATAATACGTGTATGAATGAATCCATGCAGAACATAGTCTGATAGATTCAAATAATGACCAAAAGAAGTGGCATGCCCTTCCTCCCAGTTAGATTTTGTGCCATTCAACCTAATGGGAGCAAGCATTTTGTTTTTCAAGCTATGCCATTGTTTTTGCGTTCAGGAAACCTAGAAAGTGCCATACAAAAAGGAAAACACAAAATTTGCTAATTCTAAAATAAAATCACAAATCTAATGCAAAGATCAACAGATCATATGAACAATAATAATCAGTACACCCAAATGAAGAGGATGGGTTATGAGTGAAGACAGTCTAAAGAAGAGATAACAGGGAGGGAGGAGGAATGGAAGTACCAAAGTAATGCTTTGCATGAATAAAGAAAGGAGAACGACAAAGAGATAACCTAAAACATGCATGCACATGGTCTATAATTCAAAACAACCACAAAGGACACTGATGCCAAGTTTCCAGGAAGAAAGATTATCCCCGTACCATTTTGCCAGCAGGTGTCCTCAGGCGATCTGAATTTCCAAATATGCAAGATATGACAGCAATGTGGCACCTGCTGATATAATTCACATCATCTTCTGCCAGATCAAAGCCAGTGCTCGGATATCCTTGTGGACCTTTAACAAACCCACAATTTATCTTTTTATCACGTGCCAAAAATGATTCCTCGCGTTCTTGTAAACTCTGATGCCCCACAAATTTTGGTTTCCATTGTTCTCCTTCAGGCTTCTCCATTTGTGTATGCTGTAAGGAAAATCGAGCAAACTTTCGACTTTCTGCAGGCTCCACAAGGTTTGTTTAATTTTTTAATTTCACAAGAGCCTAAGAATTTAAAGTAAATGTTATTCAAGAAGAAGAGACAAATAAAAGAATACACAGTTTCAGCAGATAAAGAAACGAGGAGAAAACATAGATCTATAAATTTCATGAGGCCCTTCTTTCTTTCTTATCTTTTTCTTTTTCTTTAAGAAGGCCTTTAATGGTGTACAAGAACTGGTATATGAATTTAAGATGCATGGATCTCACCTCTCAGCAAGCTTACTTAAGCAAATTTAATGAAGATTCAAACCCTTTACTTGAAAAAGGAATCCGTTGGAAAGTGGGATCGAGGAAGTCGATTTCTATATGGAATGATTGATGGCTTCCGAGAAAGATTCCATCTGTAATTACCTCTCCTCGCAATGATATGATAGTTACAGTAGATGATTTAATCGAGGCAGAAACAATGCGATGGTTGGAAGATCTAATAATCCCATCTTCAATGAAGAAGATCGTTTGAGGATTCTAGCAATTCCAATTTCTAGATGGAATATGTGCGGGGTTGGGTTTTAGTTAGCCTATTCATGTGGCTCAATTAGAATTCACGCCTTGGTTACATTGGTTACTGGTAAACAATCAGGCTAATTGTGGTCCTACAATCATGGTTTGTATTTGGTATTTATGGTATGCACGTAATGTAAAGTATCATGAAGGTGGAAATACAAGTGCTATGGAATTAGTTACCTTCGTTCGGGTCCACTATCAAGAATTTGAGGAAGCAAACAAGAGACATCACCCGCTTCCCTCAAATGGTGATGAATGTTGGAATCCTCCTCCACCCTCTTCGGTCAAAGTGAACTTTGATGCTAGTTTTGCACAAAATCTAGAGAGTGGGTGGTCAGGGGTAATCATTTGGAATAACGGAGGTCAGGTAATGGGAGCGAGCAGGAGAGTAATACGGAGAGTTACCTCGACGTTTGCAGCGGAGGCTACGACGGCTATCCATGTGATGGATCTGGCTCTTGATCTGGGATTTAACAGTATAGTAGTTGAGGGAGATTCAAGAGCGGTAATCACCAAACTGTCTTCTGTTGAGGAAGATGCATCCAAAATTAGTGCTGTGATTTATGAAGGGAAACAACTAACACAGAACTTGCACGCATGTAGATTCTGATTCTCTCCAAGGTCGAACAACAAAGCAGCGCATTAGCTGGCAACGATGTAAGACCTATCTGAAGAAGATCAATTCTGAGTGGAGACAGTTCCTCAGTAAATCGAAGCACAAGTGGAGGTTGACTCGCGGTGTACTGACACACCTTAGACGGTTTCTCAAGAGAGTATCCAATAATGAAAGTTCTATGCTTTTCTTTTACAAGATTTTCTACACTAAGCATTTCAAGTAATCTTTTGGAGTTGTGTAGAGAAGAAGAATGATCGGCATGTAATTTTTTTTAATTATTAATAATAGTCGACGATTCATTGGTTTAAAAATATTTACTTAAAAGAATTTAATGTCTCATCACATTAGATCGAAGTAGCTCGTACAAATAGCTGAGTAAATGAATAAAAGAAATCTCTTTGTTATTCCTTTATTCCATTCCCTGAACTCTCCCACAGACAAAAACAAAGAGAAAAATAAGCAAAAAGAGGGTCTAAACTGTAAGAATCTAAGGGCACTTGTACTTTTCATGATGGGTTCTGATCTGGGAGTAGCAATAACATGTATCTCGAGAAGCTGTAGGACCATCAGGCACACAATGATCGGTACACCTACGGCAGCAAGCCACACATGTTTTGTTACACATCTTTTGCCTCCATGATTTGCTGCATCTATATGCACACTTTTTGGGGCATTCATCTGCAATTGCATACATACATACATACATACATACATACATACATACATACATACATGCATGGATGCATGATTCATTTCAGCACAAAAACACAACAAAAAGAAGTACTAATTAACGAACAAGTGCTTCAGTACTTCATTTGTTTTACCTAGGGTGCCTGGTGCTGGTGCTGGTGCGGGTGCGGGTGCCGGTGCTGCTTGAGCCATCAGAATCCCCAACTGGAAATCGATTTCATCTCGAAAATTAACGACAGCTGGATACGATACATGTGCATATAGGGATAATTATGAGTGAAGGGTCAATGGCGTACCTCTGAGAGTAGCAGAAGGAAAACAAGTGATGCAAGGAATAGTGATGATGATGCCTTGGTGGTGCTTGCCATCTTCTGCTACTTTGTTAATGGAGATTATATGTGATGAAGCCAAGAGAGTGTTGGTTTGGAGATGGGGAAAACTGGCTTTTTAAAAAAGTTTTGGGGGCTAGGGATGGGGATTGATATGAGTCAGCTTTTTTCCGATTATTTTTTTAATAATATTGGGTGATTATAAGATAACATTTATTTATAATATTTCTTAGATATTAATAACGAGCGCGTATAAAAGATGGATTATTATGAACAATACAAGTTAGGTCATATAATTAAATGACAAATATTTGGATATGGATTAACTTCATTGTATTTATATTTGGAAATGTCAACTAATAATATTGCAGTACAGATACCCTTTGTTGTATGTTATTATTGCATCCAAATTCATGGAACTCAACGCGCAAAGCACAGACCACGGACAGCTGGTTGTGTTGGGTTGGGATTAGGGCTGAACAACGAAAGTGAGAAAATCGAAAAATATGCATTGATCACAGACAGTTGGTTGTGTTGGGTTGGGATTAGGGCTGATCAACGAAAGTGAGAAAATCAAAAAATATGTTTCACATAATTCGGTTTTTTAATCATTCGATTTTGGTTTTGGTTTCGTTTTAAATTTTAAAAAACAGTTTATTTCGATTCAATTTTTAGTAAAAAAACGAACTGAACCGAACCGAATACACCCCTATTTAGGATGTTAATTTTTGAGTAAAATACACAAATGGATACTATTTTATTAAGTTTATCAATTACTTTTTTATTAATCTGGGACAAGTATAAGGTAATATCAGTTCAAAGACAACTCTCAACCATTTGACATTGAACACTCACATCCTGACATTCTTGGTGCTTGAACCTAGGACCTTAAGGAATAACAACAATTCCTTTGCCACAAAGATTACTTGGATCGTGCTCCCTTGACTATTAAAAATTACAAAACTGTCCTCTAACTATAGAGTATTGCTTTGTTGAGTCCATCAATTATTAAAAGTTACAAAATAGTCACTCATCTCATCTATTCCTTATGTTCCAAACTCGTCCTTTTTCGATAAAAAATTAGCGGTTGTCTTAGTTGAATGTTAATATGGTGATTGAGATATGATAGTCATTTGAGATTCTAGGATCAACTTTTGTCATATCATAGTCAGTTGTTTAATGTTCAACTCATAATACCGTTATTTTTTAACAGAAAATGACGGGTTTGAAACATAATGAATATTGAGTGATCATTTTGTAACTTTTAATAGTTGAGGAACTCAACAAACTAACACTCTATAATTGAATAACTATTTTGTAACTTTTAATAGTCAAAGGACTTAATAAAATAATATCATATAGTCAAAGGACCATTTATGTATAATAAAATAGTATCCTATAGTCCAATGACCATTTATGTACTTTACCTAAACTTTTATATATGGATAAACAAAAATAAAATATTAAGATAAATACAATCAATAAAATAAACACTCATAGTAAATAGAGTCATATTCATATTTTAAGATAAACATTTATCCAATTAAGGCGTGGATCAACTAATACACATGTAACGCCTCGGATCCCGGGTTAGGAGTTTGGGCTAACCTGAGATAGGACTTGGATTAAATCTCTAGCTTGTAGGAAGCTTTGAGCAGAAAACAAGAGAAATTGGGCTTGGATTTAACGCAATAGTGAATAAAAAGGGTGTTTTTAATCTACAATTATAATTGGAGGGACCAAAGAAGCTTTATTCCTTTTCTTCATTTCTTGTCTTCTTCATATCTTCTTCTTTCCATATTTCTCCTTTCTTGCAAGGTAAAGGTGTGAACTTTATCATTTTCCAGTCCTAATCAGTGTTCTAAAGGTAAGAATCATAACCCTTCATTTCAAGCTTCGGTTTAAGCTCTCAAACCACCTATTTCACCATAGTTTTCAAGAACGGGTTTTAGAAGGGTTTAAGAAACTAGATGGTGCCAACCCATTTTTTAGATATTTATAGTCTTAGGAAGTGTTTTTAAACCTTCCTTAACCCCTAAAATCAGTTAATAATCAATGCATTTGATTCTCTTGTAGCGAGGGAAGTTTGAGAGAAATCCAAAACAAAAGGGAAGGAAAATTTCACTCTTAGTTAAGCATTGGGTGTTTGAAGCAGTTTAGCATCTAAGATAACTCACTTTTGACTCAAATATACCATATGTAAGTCATTTAGATGAAATGTAGTAGGTTGCATAAGCTTGAAGCATTCACATGGTAGATTTCATGTTTTAGAGTCATAAACATGTTTAAAACCCTATTTATGCTCCTTTATATCTTCCTAAAACATTAATAATGTTTGAGGACCTCACTAAGGTCTTTGGGATAGTAGAATAGAAGTTTTTCACCTATTTTATGCTCTCTGCAGGTTGAGTTTTGATACTAGAGGGATAATATCAAAACTTGTTCTTCTTCTTGGGAAAAATCATGAGTTTATGGAAAAGAGTATCAATACTCTTTCAAGAGTATCGATACTTTAGGTTTCAAGAGTATCGATATTTAGGTCATAGTTTCGAAACTCTCATAAAGTATCGAAACTAGACATTATAGACTAATTTAAAGTATCAATACTTGTATAAAGTATCGAAACTTTTGTAGGAGTATCGATACTCTTGGGCTAGTATCGATACTTTTAGTTTGTTTTGGACAAAAATGTCAGTTTTTAAGGGAATTTGACTCGAGGTACCCCAACACTTCAGTATATCCTCAAATAAGACTTCAAGCGAGAACAATAATTAATATTGGAACAGTAAAAACATAAATAGCTAGGTTTACATAAAACTAGCTTTGTTTGATGCTCGAGAAACAATCAGGACACCCGAGTTCCTTTTAGCAGAAATACAACAGTCAGTGGATCCAAGTCAGTGCCATAGCACTACAACAGCTGACTGGACGCCAGATGCCCCAAGACTCGACAGAGAAAGTTCGCAGGTGCACGTTTCCAATGCAGAATTCCGGATCTCACCCAGGAGTATCCGATGGTGCTTTGGCAGTACTAGAGGGGTGCGTGAGCTTTGAGATGCAGAATCCCTCAGTCGCACCATGAAGCCAACCACATATTAACAACCCAGTAGTTGTATACTCAGACATGTGCCACTTGCCATTTCATTTAGTGAATGCATGTAATATAGTCTCAGAATTTGAAATGTGTTTTCGTGCACAGGTTTGTAGGGAGTAGATCATGGGGAACTATCCTCATCAGACATTCTAGTGCAACATATCAGATTCCCAGAGGCCTTTCAGAGTATATCTTGAATTATCTTTAGAGGGCATGTATTGTTATGGACCCGTATTATGTTTTCAGTCGTAACTCTTTTTTGGAACTTAGTCTTTTGTATTATTTTTGGATGTATTTTGGGAGATCCCTATTATTTGTAAACTCAATTTATTGCTATATTTTTTATTACATTATAGATGTCTAAATTTCAGAGATTTAAAAGCAGTTTTAAAAGAAATTTTTTTGTCACTATTTTAGTTGTCCCATGTAATATTGTAATCCATGGATCTTCGGGTCTAAGTGGACTAGGGTGTTCAACTCATTTTGAAGATAGAAGAAATTATTACTTTAAAATCTAAATGATTAAACGTCTTGGGAGTTTTGAATTTTGGTCCTCCTTAAAGTTAATCAATAATTTAATTTTGTTTTAATAAAAAAATAATAGCTTAATTTTGTTAATAAGTTTATCAATTAATCATATTTTATATATAAATTTAAACTCTAAATTATCATAATTTTTGAAATTTACTTTTAAAAATATTTTTAGATATTCTAAAAAAATTTAAAAATTGATTTATTTTTCAAAATGTAATCCCCTTCCCAAAATTACCAATTAATTTTCAGGATGTTATAATAATTTAAGTTCATGTGACGTAAATATTGAGTTTGAGGTTAACCAAAACAAAAAAAATTATTCGATTTGATTGTATTTAACTCGAGCACCAATGTATGAGGTTATTGAATTTTTATTATTAAATAATTTAAATTTTTTTAAATATATATTTTTATAATCATTTTAATTTGATAAAAATAAATTAAATTGGTTTCAAGTTAAGATGAATATATTAATTTAATGCTTTTAGAAATTAAATTAAAGTATTTAATGCTTTAGAAATTGCTAATTTAATGTTTTTGTTTTACATTTTCATCCGTTTTTCTTACAACATCGACAACAAAACCCTATTTTCATATACAATGAGATAAGATGAGGTAGGGTAGTAGGTTGTCCCCCACCAGGTTGAGAGTAGCTTCCGTGGAAGACCTCAAACAGCTAAAAAATTAAAAATAAAGATAAAATGTAATATATATTTAATTAATTAAATAAATAAAATACCTAATTAAACAATCTTCATATTCACGTTTGTAACGATAAGTAATCTGTTTTTCTTAATAAGTTATAAAAAGAACAACTTTGTCTTTGAAAAGTATTCTGTTTCACTGTTTCTTCCATTTCATTCAATATATATATATATATGTATAACGCATAGAAAAGAAAGCATTGCTTTAAAGGTCTCTGGGGTCTCGCACATCCAATTCAAAAAAATTTCTCTTCAAAATAGGGTTCATCATAACACCCCATTCTATTCCCATATAAACGATTCTTTAATTCTTCAGCAACCTTTTGTTTCCATTTATTAACGTCATTATATTCTTTTGGGATCCTAAGTTCCCCCAACAGCTTTGTTTCTGTGCACTTTCATCTTGTCGATGTTCTAAAATGGCGGCTCCGAGGAATGTGTTGAGGGACGAGGAGAGTGCTGCGGCGGCGTTGTTGAGCATCAGCAGCAAGGAAGATGACGATTCTCCGTCGGGGAAGAGGTTAAAATCGGAGAGGCTCCCAATTTCAAGGTGGGAATTGGCTGCCTTTTTCGGGGTTTTCTTGATTTTTTCTACCGGCTTGTTCTGCATCTACCTGACCATGCCCGCTACCGAGTACGGGAAACTCAAGATCCCTCGTTCCATCTCTGATCTGCGATTGCTCAAGTAGGATCCCCCCCCTTTATAATAAAAACTGGTGTTCTCTCTCTCAATTGATGAAGAAATAAGCTTAATTTGTGTGCCAAATCCTTGG